GACCTGAGGCTGGATTTGCAGCATCAGGTCAAATACCTTCAGGAGGACATTAGGGAGAGGACATAGATCTTTTTTCAAGGTATTGAAGATGCCAAGAAAAAGGTTGTCGATGAGTACATCGCCTCGCCGAGCTTTGACGACCTAATGGTGGATTCGTACTGAAGGGGTTTCAAGCTAAGCCGGTGGATGATCTGGAATACGTACCCCGAGCTCGATATTAGTGTCATATTCACTTCGCGCATAACTCAGGAGATGGCCAATGCTGCTGATGGTGAACCAGATTCCGAGGGCGAGGCAAGGCCTCCAAGTATCGTTGAAGTGCCTTCTGATAATGAAGAAGTAGCTCCGGGCCTGTAATTTTTTTTTCGAAATGTACTACCTTACTTTGAAATGGAATGACTTTTCTTTTGGTTAAGTGTTGGTTGTTCTTTCTCCCAAACTGAACGTATTTGCCGAACTGACCAAACGTTCGGTCTATTTCCTGCCCGGGTTATCGCACTCGCGCGGCCTGTTTTGGTGGTCTCTGAGATGCCGATGTTCCTATTAGTTCGTTGTCTCCGTTTTGCCTTTGGCTGACTTCTTTGCTTGCCTGTGCCGAGGTTCTTTTGTTAGCTCGGCTTCCTAGCCCTTAGGCTTTGGTGGCGATTTTATCCACTTCGCTTGGTGGTCTATAGGTAGTATCGCCTTAAGTTGACGATGTTCAATGCTCGGGGTATTTGCTTACCCTCTAAGGTTTCGAGCTCGTATGCCCCCCCGAGTGCTTTCTTTACTCTGTAGGGTCTTTCCCAATTTGGTCCGAGTTTTCCCACGCCGGGTTCGGGTACCATGATCTTACGGAGAACCAGGTCGCCAACGTGGAAGCTCCTCTTCTTTACTTTGGCGTTGTAGTACCGAGCTACTTTTTGCTGGTAGGCCGCTGTTCGGATGTGCGTGTGGTCTCTTACCTCATCCAGCAGGTCAGGATTGGTGTGTAACTCGTCTCCGTTTGTCTGATCGTCATATCCTTCTAGTCGCAGTGTAAGTATTTTGATTTCCGCCGGGATTACCGCTTCGGTGCTGTAGGTGAGGTTAAGGGGG